GGATCAGAAAAGTGGAGCCCAGTGATCTATGGTTTAACAAGCCCTTCAGGGGCTCTGTCTAATCCATCTACCCAGCCATAGCTCCAGGGGGAGCCAGGATGCTTAGTCTGGTGCTAGCTATTCCACCCCAAGCTGCCACAGACACACACCTGGGGAAACTGAGGCAGGGAGGAAGAGCCACGCGATCTGGGGTCAGCTCCTCAATCCCTCAGCCCCAGGGACTGATGGACAACCATAAATCTGCATGTGCCTGTGGACATGGTCAGTGCTCCACGTGGAGACAGGGTCAGTGCCCCCAGTGCTCTGGCTCCTTTTGCAAAGGACAAGACTGAAGCCCAGCACTTAGCCAAGGTTACGGCCAGGGAGAGCCAAAGGCAGGGCTGGGAGCAGGGGCCCATGTCCTTGGGTTCCGCTCCCACCGCCTCTCATGCCCTTGCTAGTCACCACTCCAGCGAGGCCCAGAGGAGAAGGCACCAAGCTGGGAGCTGGGCACCCAGCTCTAGGGATTATTATTAGGCTTCTTAAGTCTGTACATTCAGCTTTCGATTTTTTTAATGCTGTTTCCATATTTAATTTGGTTCCTTTTCCAATTAAGCTCTCTGTGTGCCACAGCATCTCTCCTGCCAGGTTTAATTGCCCTTATTTAAATTCTTTAATTAAAAGTATTATGTGTTTCCAGATCCTGTAGTTGTAAGTATTACACAAATAATTTAGATGACTGGACTAGTAAACCAAGTGACTGCACCCTCCACAGGGGGCGGGGCCGGGTGGAGGTTCTGCATCAAGCCTCAGCCCCCCAGAGCCCTGGGTCTGTCCCCGAGGCTGCTGGCTGGCCCTGGGTGTGAGGACAAGAGCCTGCTAACAGGTCCCTGCTTCCTTCCTCCCTCCAATGCTTAATGCTCAACACAGCAGAGTGACATGGTTAACATGTCAGTCCTACTCTGCAGTGGCTGGCCCTGTCACCAGGTAAAATGCCAAAGTCCATTCTGTGGCTCTAAGGCCCCACACAACCTGCCCCACACTCACCTCTTGGGCCTCATCTCCTATGCCTACCCCCATGCCTACTCTGAGCTGGGGCCTCTGTGCTGTTCTCCAAACACACCAGGCCTCTGCCTGAGCGGGAGCTTTGCTCTGGGCCCTGGGACTCTCCCCAGATATCCCCTGGGCTAACTCCTCTCCTTCACATCTTGCTCATATCTCCCTCTGACCACCTCTTACCATTGCAGCCTACCTCACCACCATGCCCGAACCCTCTCACCCGGCTTGTCTTGATCTATTCAGGCTGCTATAACAAAACGACCATAGATTGCGTGGCTTAAACAACAAACATTTATTTTGAAGGCTGGGAAGTCCAAGGTCAAGGTGCCAGCAAATGCAGTGTCTGGTGAGAACCCTCTTTCCAGTTTGCATATGGCAGCCTTCTCACTGTCCTCACATAGGGGCGGGGGACGGGGGGAAAGGTGAGAGAGAGAGAGGTCATCCCTCTCCTGTCTCTTCATATAATCCCATTCATGAGGATTCCATGCTCACCTCCAAATACCATCACATAGGGGATTGGGCCTTCAACATGAATTTTAGGGGCACAAACATGCACACACACTGCTCTACATTTTTGTGCAGCCTATCACCTTCTAACACACTATAGAATTTATCATTTGCTCCTCCTCCTAGAATAGTCTTCACTAAGATAAGGATTATTTCTTGTTTGGTCACTGATGTTCCTGACACACAGTAGGCATTCATTAAATATCAGGTGGATGGATGGATGAATGGATGGATGGATGGATGGATGGATGGATGGATGGATGGATGGGTGGATGGGTGGATGAATAGATGGATGGGTGGATAAAACATCTCTCTGCAGAGAGTCTTCAAAAGAACTAGATCAAACTGGCTCTTCAGAGCCTCTTGGAGGTGATTTTCCTCTCTGGTCAAGAAGACCCCAGGTGTTGGGGCACGAACAGCTGTCAGTCTAGTCCACTCCCTTGAGACAGGCAGGGGGTGGAATAAATTGTGGGTGGACTGGCCACTTGTTCTGGTGGGGAACAGTAAAGGGGACTGGCTCCCAGAATCCCCGCCTTACTCTGCCACTGCCTGACCATGTGATCCTGGGCAAGTCTCCTGACCTCTCTGAGCCTCAGTCTCCAATTCTATAAAATGGTGATAATTAGCATCTCCACCTCTCAGGGTTATTGTGAGGAATACGTGAGATCGGGCATGTAAAGCATTTGATACAGTGCTGGGCATGTGGTCGATAGTGTTAACTGTTGTTACTTTTATCCCAGGTGCAAAGCCTGCAGGTAGAGGTGCAGTTGGTAGCAACACCAGGCTGCTCCCAAGGGGGCTGAACTCACCAGGAAGGGACTGAGTGGAGGAGGGGAAGGCTTCTTTCCAATGGCGGTGAATGGAACTTGCCCAGAGAGAGGCAAGACCCCAGAGTTTATTCAGTGAGAGAGGTCAAGGTCTGAGAAGGAAGACAAGAGGGAGAAAGCACCAGGGGCCAGTGCTAGCTCTAGCACCAAGGGGTGGCCTGGCCCTTCTCCCCCTACTCCAGATGTCTTTCCAAGACTCATGCCTGGGCTCTGCTCATTGGGGCTTCCAGGGTGGCCTGACTACTCCATTATATAAGATGCTCCTTTCGGAACTTCCAGACAGGGAGCTCTCCTTGGCCTCACACTCTGCCCTCCCTGCAGCCCCACACACTCTCACAGAGGCTGTGCTTCTGCACACCCCACCCTGCTCTTGGCCTCACTCCATTTCTTCCACATTCTTCCCAGAGGCCACCCTGGCTGTTTCTGCCCCAGGGTCACCACACTTCCTGTCTCTAGGGTGCTGAGGGCATGGTTGGGCCAGGGTAGGGCCTGGGAAATGTCATAGTTGAATCTCTGAAGGAACACTTTACTTCTCAGAGACTGCCCCTGTCTTCTTCTCTCAGCCTTGGCACGGTGCCCTGCAGAAGGCTCAGAATGTTCCTGAGTGGCTGGTGGGAAAGGAGGAGGCCGCGGCCTCCTGTCTGGGACCAGTTCCTCCAAGCTTCCGTGGCCCAGGGTTTGCTGAAGCAGCCTGGCCCAGCCCCTGAGGACATGCTGAGCAGTCAAAATCTCCAGTGGAATGGAAAGTCACTTGGTCTGGCCCCATCTGCTTGCTGTGCACTTTTTCTGGATCCCCCACCTGATTCTATGAACAGCCTCATATCTGTTTGTTGTTTGTAGCTGATAAAGGGATTTCCCATCTGTCCTGCTCATCCTCCAGTAATCAGGACAGAAGTGATCATCTGACCCTAGAGATAATGGAACCAGAAGAGTGGGCGGCTGCCCAGGGCCACACAGCTGACCACCAGAAAAGAAGCATCCTAGTTCAGCACTCTCCCCTTTCCATCTCACCCCCTGGAGTGCCAAACCCCCAGCAGATGTGGTGAATAAGAGAGCTGGCTGGTTTCATCCAGCCTTGCCTGCGCTGCACTCCCAGCAGTGGGTAGGACCACCAGGCTGGCCAGATGTTGGAGCGTCAGGAGAAGCTGGGTACAGTTCCACTGAAGAAGCACCAGCCACATGGCCCAGCCTGTGGGTGGGCAGCAGATGTGCTTGGTCTGGAGGCTGCGAGATTTTACACAGAAGCTATAGAAACTGGGCCAGGCAGAGCCGTGGGCTGGCCTTGTTTGGAGCAAATGTCACAGGGATACCTCTGTGTCCAAAAGTCCAGCCGTTGAGGGATAGGATGGAGCCTCTGAGAGGACAACTTGAGGATATCCGCCACAGTCCCAGCATGGTTCATGGTTCGGGACTGTGGTGTGGCCACCAACAGTGCCCATTCCTTGGCTGTGTTGCAAGGGCCTATTTATTGTTCAGTGGAAATGAGGTGGTTTGTGCTCTGTGATCAGTTCTGAGTGACACAAAACAAAAGGAGGGCAACCAGAATGGGGAGAGTATACAAAATTCTTCCATAAGAAACTCAACGTGGGAAAGCATAGAACTGGGGGACATGGGCCTTACCTTCCCCTGTCAGAAGGGAAGAAGTGGAGAAGCAGGAGCTGACCCAAGTGTGGGACCCCAAGGGGTGTTCTGGGTTCCCTTGCTGGGTGCCCCTGATCTTAGTTCAACAGGAGGAGACTTCCCCCATGAGGAGCCACTGCGGAAAGAAAGTGCTGGTTCAGGGGCTGTCCCTGCAGGTGGACATGCAGAGCTAAAGGGCCCGAGGCCCAAGTGCAGAGCCATTCAGGTTGCAGACGAGAACAAGAGGATCAGCTTCAAAGTTCCTTCCCACATGAGTCCTTTCTGAGCCCCTGTCTCATGGCCACTGTCCTGTCCTGTCAGGACATGACCTGTGGGTTTCTTTCTGGCTGTACCTGGGGAGGGGGGATCCATGAGGTCCCTATTTCAGTTCCCCCTTTGTTCTGATGTCTCTGTGATCCTAGAGGCAGTGAGTCATTGCTCTCCTCAGAGGAGGTGCTGGCTGGGCTGGGCTGCTTCACTCACTCAAATGCTTCTGAAGAGGTTTGCTGTCTACAAGGCCATCTCCCACACACCAGACCTTGGGAAGTTCCACACCCGCTCCTGACACACACACACACACACACACACACTTAACACGGACTTCACCATCTGGCTTCTCACTCCCCTGCCTCCTTCACACTCAGCTCAAAGTCCCTCCTGGGAGCTGGAATTTTGTTTTAATTTTTTTTTTAACTGAAGAACAGCACATACACACAGAAACATGCAAATATACGTACAAAAATAAATGCTCAACTTATTTAAAACCAAGTAAATGCCTATGCAAGCACCACCCTGGTCAGAAAGAGCACCCCACCAGCACCCCAGGCGCCCCCTTCTTGCTTCCTGTCATTTGCCACCCTCTCCACCCCAAAGGTAACTCCACCCTGACTTGAACACTGTGGTTTTATTTTGCCTGCTTGGGAAGTTTATAGAAGTAGGATTATGTATATATTCTGCCTGATTTCCTTTGCTAACATTGTGTTTTTGAAATTCACCCCTCTTGAGTAGAGAGCCAGTGTGTCCGGTTTTGATGCTGCATCGTATTCCTTTATGTGAGTCACCGCTGTTTTCTATCCGCCCTCCTATTGATGGATGGTTGGGTTGTTTCCAGGCTGGAGCTTTTACAAATCATGTTTCAGAAGGCACCTGGGTACCTGTCTGTGGTGCACACCTTTCTGCTAGTTGTATAGCTATAGGTACAGCTGTTGGGTCGCAGGGAAGTGCCTGTTCAGCTGGGGACAGTACTGCCAGTTTTCTCAGTGGTTGTGAGAACTGAGTCTCGATGTGCTCTTGAGATGTCAGTTGTTGCCAGGGGGATGGTGGTGGCAGACTGGTGATGACTTCCAGAAAGGACTTACGTCTCCCTCACTCACAGTGGGCTGTTCGCTGGGATGGGCATGGGTGCAGCTGGGGGTGGGCTCAGAGTCTCCCTCTCTTTGCTGCCAGGCCTGCCAGGGTGAACCTGAGCATGGTCACCCCGTCCTGTGACCGATTCCCTTCTTACCTATATAAGTCATGACAGCCAGATTAATGATCACCTGTCGTGTTCCATCCAAGTTTTTTGCTGGATGTTGAGGGGATAGAAATTGATAAAACATAGAACTCTCAGTCCATTGGGGGAAAAGATAAGTAAATAAGAACTTTTACTGTCCTTCAATAATTGCTGAGCGGGGAAAAAGCACGGGATGGAGAACACCGCGCCAGCTGGGGAACTGGAGGGGAGGAGGAGGCAGGAGCTGGTGGAAGGTGAGAAGCCTCTGGAGGAAGGAGCAGGCGCCAAGCCTTCAGTGACTATGGCTCAGCCTGAAGCAGAGCATGGAGAGGACGCCAGGCACAGGGACAGCTTGTTCAGCGTCTAGGAATCCTGAGAAAATGTAAATGCATTCAGCAAACTACATAGAGTTTGGTATCACTGCAGTTCAAGGTGTGCAAGTTGAGGGGGACCGGGCCAGAGAGAGACACAGCACCACACCATGAGCATGCGCTACAGAGCTGGGCTCTGTCTTCCAGGCCAGATACGCATCTGAAAGGATCACTACTCCCTGCCTCCTGAAGTGGGAAGGGGATCAGTGAGGAGGCTGATGCAGTTGTCAGGGGAGAGAAGATGGTGGCCTGAATCAGGGCAAGTACGAAGGGATAGCGATAAGGAGACAGTCACAAGGCCTGAAGGAGGTGGAATTGACAGGAATCGGTGCCTAATGAGATGCTGGGGAGGGGTGGACATATACTGAAAATGCCCAGCTTTCCCACAACGATGCCTGGTTATGGCTGAGATGGGAAACACAGTAGGTTCTGGGGAAAAGGTGAGTTTTAGCATATAATCAAGTAGCATTAAGCTACAAGGTGCCCACTTACCCAGCCCAAGCAATTTCGCTCGTTTGGAAAGCCAAAGCCCAGCTGAGCACATTTTCAGTAAAACTCAGAGATACTCAAAATGCTGACACCCAGCCACATAGCCAGCAGCCCCAGGGTGTTTGGGATATAAACTGAGTGTTCATGGCTACAGAACATTCCAGAACACCAGCAGCATGGGGAAATGATGCATATCCAGGGATGAGGGAGCCCAGTGGCCTTATAGACAGAATCCAGGAGCCTGAACTTGGTTGAGACCAGCACTGATGGCTCTAGAGGTCCAGTTGGGCTAGAGGTCCAGTTGGGAGCACAGACCCTAAAAGCAGGATGTCTGGTGATACTGAAATTCAGGCCAATCACCGGGTGGTCCCAAGGAGCTAGGCTTTTCAGAGCAGGGGCCCAGCCTATGGTTATGGAGAATAGGGCTTAATCCCCCAGAGAGGAGCCATAAGAGCAACCCAGCAGGCTGTACCCCAGCCAGGTAGACGGACATCGGGGTGGGGTATCTCGGTTCTAGTGAATAGCTAGGGCTCTGTGAAGAAAACTTACACACAAGGTCATTCTCAGGGAGGAGATCAACACATCAGAGATGGGAGCCCGAGGCTTCATGGGAATGCAGGCCCCAGACCTCCCGTGGCCTCATTGGATCCCAGACATCTAGATGCACACATAGTCCCAGCCGCTAGGCCTCAGGCTCCCCGGACCTCCCCATGTTGCCTGGACACTCTCTGACTCCACCCTCTGCCCTGGCTCCTAGGGAGGCCCCATCCAGAACCTCAAGTCCAAGCGCTGCCTGGAGCTGCAGGAGAACAGTGACTTGGAGTTCGGCTTCCAGCTGGTGCTGCAGAAGTGTTCAGGCCAACGCTGGAGCATCACCAACGTCCTGAGGAGCCTGGTGTCCTGACCCGCCAGGACCCGCCCCGCCCGCCCTTTTGCTACTGTGTAGCACCTGCTGCAAGTTGCCTGCTGTCCGCGTGGGTGGTTGGAAGTCCTGGAGCCAGGTTGGTGGGCCCCCCTTAAAGAGCTTTCTATTTCCTATTCAATTTTCAAGCAGTTTCTAGGAAGATGCTGAATGGTGGGTGAAGGTAGTGAATACCATAAACTATTTTGCAACTGTAAATAGGGGACAAATGGAAAATATTTATAACTGTCAATAAAATACTATTATTAAGAAAAGGGTTTCTGCCATCTTTTGTGCCTGGTGGAGATTCATGCCCGGCTCCTCTGAACCTGGAGTTCTCACAGCTCAAGACACATCCCTGCTTGCCCTTCGGGCTCTGCGCCCCTGAGAAAGGGGGCCCTTGGGCCCTGCAAGCAGTGGGAGCGTGTTGTGCAAGCCGCCCGCTTTCTTTGTGAGGCCCAGGGTGGCGAGAAGGCCACTGTGAGCTCGGGGGCACCTTATCTGGAAGACGGCCTCCGTTCTTCGTTCCCGGAGAAAGCGGGAGTGCTCACTGGCCCCTGGAGCGTCCTCCACTGGCCATCTGCTGGCTCCAGTACACTGCCCCTATCCTGAAGTCACCTCCATCACCTCCCAGTGCGGTGCACAGCTCAGCCCCTCAGCAGTGACACCGCCCACAGCAAACGCCCCATCTAGTCATTAGCTCCATCCCGTTGCCTCCTTCCATGAATCATGGTGCATTTGCTTCCCTTTCTGAGACTGTTGGAACAAAAAAAACCACAAACTTGGTGGCTCAAACTACACACTCTGTTGGGGTTCTGGAGGCTAGGAGTCCGAGATCGAGGTGTGAGCAGCACTGGCTCCTTCTGAGCGCTGTGAGGAGACTCCCTCTCCAAGCCCCGGTGACTCAGGCACTGCCTGGCCTGCAGAAGGCCATCTCCATCCTGTGTCTTCTGTCGTCTTTCCTCTGTTTGTCTGTGTCCAAATTTTCTCCTTTTTTTAAGGACACCAGTCACACTGGATAAGGGCCCACGGTAATGACCTCATTTGTACTCGATTACCTCTATAAAAACCCTATTTTCAAATACAGTCCCATTCAGAGGCACTGGGATTGAGGACACAACTTAACCCATGGCATGGCTCAGTCAGTTAGGGCTCCAAGGCACCCCCCTGACCCCAGTCTGGGGAAACTGGTGACTATCCTTGCAGTCTGTTGCCCGATCCTCTGTCCCTCCAGCAGCGTCCCCTGTCCAAGAGACCATCCTCTGGTGGGGGCTCCTGTGTTTAGTTTGAAGGACACCCCCCCCCAGGACCACCTCCAACACTTTAGTTCATACTAGAGTTATGATAAGTGACAGGCTAGACCAGTAGTCGGCAAACTCATTAGTCAACAGAGCCAAATATCAACAGTACGATTGAAATTTCTTTTGAGAGCCAAATTTTTTAAACTGAAACTATATAGGTAGGTACATTGTTATTAACTTAATTAGGGTACTCCTAAGGCTTAGGAAGAGCCACACTCAAGGGGCCAAAGAGCCACATGTGGCTCGCGAGCCGCAGTTTGCCGACCAGGGGGCTAGACTGAAGTAGGAGAGGAAACTCTTTCTCGACAGGTTCCAGGCCCACTCACCCCCTCAACTTCTCTGGGGCCCTGCAGTCACCTGTTTGGGCTCAATAATTTATAGCTGAAAAACTGATAACACAGAGAAACCTCCTGCACCTAAGGGACCCCAAGGGAAGAGGTACCTCCTGTCTCACCACCTTTGCACACCGAGAACCCCATCTAGCACAGGATTCACCCTAGAGGGGCCCGTGGGAGCTTCCCAGGCCACTGCCATAGGCACCCCTTACTTACTCTCTGCCTACCTAAGCCATATCATGCCTGTGCTCATTCCGGTGGAACTCTTCCTACAGCTGCAATATCCCATACTCCTAAAGTCACTCTGAGTTCTAGTCTCACTCTACCCACCTCCTCTCTCCCTCTAAAATAACACTTCCTGTTCTTCACCATCACTCACACGTGCTTCCCGTCCCCAGTGCTCCCAAGTCCGGTCCCCAGGCTACCAGCATCAGCATTACCTGGGAACGTATTAGAAAAACACTTCTCAAGCTTCCCAAACCATAAACAATCCAGGTTCTAACAAGCCCTCCAGGTGATTCTGCTTCTCTGCTAAAGTCTGAGAACGACTGCCCAGCACTACCCTGAGCCAGTGCACACACGCCCTCCCTCCCGTCCTGGCCCAGGCCTCATTCGCAGCAACATCCGTTCATACCGCCCCACCTGTTCACACCTCGACGCCACACCCCATCCAGAGTGTCCCTGTGCCCACCCGCCTCCCATGGTCCCTGCCACACCACGTCCCGTGAGGAGTGGGAGGACCAAGAGCATGGGCTCTGGAGCCAGACGGCCCAGTTCATCCCCGCCCTGCCATTTTCCAGCTGAATGGCCTGGAGCAGGTACTTAACCTCTCTGTGCCTCCATTTCCCAACCCCCTTAAAAATGGAGATACTAATAGTGTATCTTTTATGGGGTTGTTATAAAAATGAGATGAGTAAATTTATGTAAAGCAGAGCAGTGATGGAAACATAATAAGTGCTCTAACGTCTGAGCTATTATTATTTCATCCATTGATATCCTGACACCCAGTTGCTGTCACCAATATCCACACCTTTATGCCAACCCACACCCACATTTCCCCTTCCTGTCGACATCCATAGCCCACCCCACCTGCAGTGACAACACCCACTCATGTCTGTTCCATCTGCCTGGAGGCATTTGTCTTATACCCATCGCTACCTTCACCCCCACCCCTGCAAACCCCACCCTCCTGCCCTCTTATCAGAGGCACCCCCGACCCCGACATCAACCACTCCCAATAACATCATCCCAAGAAGAAAACCCAAGAATGACGCCCTCCCCCATAAGCTAAACTGGGCAGTTAAAACAGGACAGGGGCAGCTCCCTCCTGGGATACCACTCACCATCTCCCTGAGCCTAGTTGCCCGGGTCCTGGCGGAGAAGGCTCTGCGATGGCCTGGGGGGCCCTGACCTCCTAGGAGTGGGGACTACGTGGCCAGTCCAGGCTCCACTATATGTTGGAGGTATAAAGGTCAGAAGTCCAGGGCCATGTGACTCCAAAGCAGAGGCACTGGATGGGTGTGGGGCAGGCAGGAGGGTTAGGAGGCCCCAGCCCATTCTAGCCCCAGCCCACCCCAGCCTCAGCCCATCCCAGCCCCAGCCCACCCCAGCCTCAGCCCATCCCAGCCCCAGCCCACTCCAGCCCCAGCCCACTCCAGCCCCAGCCCACACCAGCCCCAGCCCACCCCAGCCTCAGCCCACCCCAGCCCCATCCCACCCCAGCCTCAGCCCACTCCAGCCTCAGCCCATTCCAGCCCCAGCCCACACCAGCCCCAGCCCACTCCAGCCTCAGCCCACTCCAGCCCCAGCCCACTCCAGCCCCAGCCCACCCCAGCCTCAGCCAACCCCAGCCCCAACCCACCCCAGCCTCAGCCCATCCCAGCCCCAGCCCACTCCAGCCTCAGCCCATCCCAGCCCCAGCCCACTCCAGCCCCAGCCCACTCCAGCCCCAGCCCACTCCAGCCTCAGCCCACTCCAGCCCCAGCCCACTCCAGCCCCAGCCCACCCCAGCCTCAGCCAACCCCAGCCCCAACCCACCCCAGCCTCAGCCCATCCCAGCCCCAGCCCACTCCAGCCCCTGCCCACCTCCGCCCCAGCCCACACCAGCCTCAGCTGGCTGCTTTTCCTGCTGTTGCTGTAAGCTCATTAACAGCTGTTTAGGGCTCTTGAACACCCTGGGGTGAGATCATTATTTTTTTAATGATTTGCACATTAAACAACTTTTGTTTCCTGTTTCTACTGCCTTTGCTGATACTAGGAAAGCCTTTTTAGCCCCGTGTGACAAGAGCCCCTTGACAGCCAGCCCTGCTGCCTGGCCCACAGCTCATGAAGGAGACAGGCTCCTCTCTCCCTGCTGCAAAACGGACACAACTGTTTGCAGAAAGAGTGGCACAAGCCATCAGTGGCCTGGCCATATCCTGACTGGCCCTGAAGGTCACCTGCCTACAGCTCCTGCAGCTTCCTGCATCCCCGTCTGAGGCCCTTTTCTGGCCCCAGGCACATGCTCGGACTGGAATACCAGAGAGTTTATCTCTCAGGAACAATCTTCCGTCAGTGAGGGGTGGGCCTCCTGACCCTCCAGAGGAATACATGGCAGGTCTGAGCCTCCAGTCTCTCAAAGGTCCCCAGTGGGACTGAGCCCCAGTGGCCCACCTTGATGCACCTCCTTCTTCCCCGCTCCCTGTCTCATCTCCCCTCTCCTTCCCTGTACTGCCCTCTCCCAAATGCTCATCTCTAGGACTGCCGCTGGGAGATACAGCTCACTCCCACTCCTCCTGCACAATGCCCCCCCATGAGCACCAGTGCCCCCCAAATCCACATCTATACCCCGGGCCTGATCTCCCACTGCTGATGGGCTCTGGGAAGCTGGGTGCTGTACCTCAGATAATGCTGACCTATGTGCTGAAAGCAGACCTATCACTCCTCCTCCCAGGCCTACCCCAGTGACACCACCCTCACTAGGTGCTCAAGCCAGAGGCCTCCTCTCAACCCTAACCCCCTCACTCAGCCTCCCACCTGTATCTCAGTCCCCCAGGCAGTGATGCCTTCTGACAACTCAGTAATATTCGCCGGCCCCTTCATCGCTCACGTGGACCCGCCCCCTCACCTCCGGTCTCTCCCATGCTGTGCCTCATCTGTCCTCCACACGAAGTAGTCACAGGGCTCTTTCTGAAATGCAAATATGATCACATTCCTTCCTGGCCTAAAACCTTCAGTGGGTCTCATCAAAAATGGAAAATGGCCAAAACCGGTTTGGCTCAGTGGATAGAGTGTTGGCCTGCGGACTGAGGGATCCCAGGTTCGATTCCGGTCAAGGGCATGTACCTGGGTTGCGGGCACATCCCCAGTGGGAGGTGTGCAGGAGGCAGCTAATCGATGTTTCTCTCTCATCGATGTTTCTAACTATCTCTCTCCCTTCCTCTCTGTAAAAAAATCAATAAAAATATATTTTTTTAAAAAAAATGGAAAATGAATAACACAGGCACCGGACTCCGAGGTTTTTCCTTCAGCAGGTCCAGAGGCTGTGCCTAAAGCATCCAGGACGGGGACTTTGGACACAGGGTGGGCTGTGGATGTGAGGAGCCCTGGCTTCTTGGCGGTCACACCCACTGGACATCAGCAGCCCACTCCCCCAGGGAC